AGTCTCATGTATCTACTTGAGCTAAGAAGCACACTCTTCACGAGTATCATTTTATGTCCCATAGTCCAGTCTAATCTTTGTCTGAAGGACTGGCCTCGGGAATGGTTTTAGTTCAGGGCTGACAGAACAGCCTCGTGGGGGCCATGTCTTCCACGGTCCCTCCAGTCTCAATCAAACCAGTAAGTCTCGTCTTTTTACTAGAATTCGACTTCTGCACCCCACTTTTCTCCTGCTCCATCAGGGACTCTCTGTTGTGTTCCCTGTCAGGGCGGTCATTGGTGGTAGAATTTCTGTTTTTTTAAGGGGGAATAAATAATAGGATGTTTCTGTGATTCCTGGAATGACCCAACAGACGGAGAGAGAAAAACGCAAAAGACAAAGGAAAGATATGCTGGAGCAATTTTCTTGAATAGATAAGAAAGAAGATGAGATTCAGTAAACAAGTGGAGGGCTTGGCTTTGGCTAGGAGCAAGGAGAGTGCATCCACAGTAATAAGAGAGCAAGCAGAGGAAATGGTCCCAGATAGTGGGAGGTGGGCCTGGGGCAACTCTTCTGATTGCTTCTATTTTCACAATGAATGAGGCTGGGGAAGGAGGTATGAAAGAGCTGTAGAGAAAGGAGTGTGTATAAAAGAGTTTTCTCTGAGTTCGGAAGAATTGATGCTTTGGGAGAATATGAAATGGTGGCTGAGCAAATTTTAGGCTAGTAGTAGTCACAAACCTGACATTATTTTCCTTTAATTATTCAACTTTTTGTTTTGAAATAATTTCAGACTTACAAAAAGTTGCAAAAAAGTTCAAAGAATTTCCACACACTCTTCATCCAGCTTCCCCAAATGTTAACATCTTACATAATCATAGTACATTTGTCAATATCAGGAAACTATCATTGATCGACCATTATTCACTATTCTATAGGCCTTACACAAGGTCAGCAGATTGTCCCACTAATGTCCTATTTCTGGATCAAGATCCAGTTCATTATCCCACATTGCATTTAGTCATCATGTCTTCCTCCAATACAATTCTTAAGCTCTTTCAACTTAAGAAATTCCTCCAATCCGTGTTCTTCTTTATATAGCCCAGCTTCTCAGATTATTTGCTCAGCATGCAGATTGAATAAGTATGGTGAAAGGATACAACCCTGATGCACACCTTTCTTCCCTTTGAACCACGAAGTATCCCCTTGTTCTGTTTGAACAATTGCCTCTTAATCTATGTACAGGTTCCTCCTGAGCATAATTAAGTGTTCTGAAATTCCCATTCTTTGCATAGTTCATAAAACACAGGGAAACATCTTTCTGGTATTCTCTGCTTTCAGCCAAGATCCATCTGACACCAGCAATGATATCCCTGGTTCCATGTTCTCTTTTTAATCCAGCTTGAATTTCTGGCAGTTCCTTGTCGATATACTGCTGCAGCCGCTTTTGAATGATCTTCAGCAAAATTTTACTTGTGTGTGATATTAATGATATTGTTTGATAATTTCTGCATTCAGTTGGATCACCTTTCTTGGGAATAGGCATAAATATGGATCACTTCCAGTCGGTTGGCCAGGAAGCTGTCTTCCAAATTTCTAGGCGCAGATAAGCGAGCACTTCAGCACTGCATCTGTTTGTTGAAATATCTCAATCGGTATTGTCTCAATTCCTGGAGCCTTGTTTTTCACCAATGCCTTCAGTTCAGCTTGGAACTCTTCCTTCAGTACCATTGGTTCCTGATCATATGCTACCTCCTGAAATGGTTGAATGTCGACCAATATTTTTTGGTATAGTGACTCTGTGTATTCCTTCCGTCTTCTTTTGATGTTTCCTGCATCGTTTAGTATTTTGCCCATAGAGTCCTTCAATATTGCAACTTGAGGCTTGAATTTTTTCTTCAGCTCTTTCAGCTTCAGAAATGCCAAGCATGTTCTTCTCTTTTGGTTTTCTATCTCCAGCTCTTTGCACATGTCATTATAACCCTTTACTTTGTCTTCTAGAGCTGCCCTTTGAAATTTTCTGTTCTGCTCTTTTACTTCATCATTTCTTCCTTTTGCTTCAGCAACTCGATGTACAAGGGGACTCCAACCAGGAAGACAGGTGCCTGTTAATCTTTGTACAGATGTTTCTGGACAGTGGAGGTCACTCTGGGGACATCTAAAGGTCAAGCAGAAGATAGGTCCTTTCTTCTATTTTACTAAAGTCCTTCACCTCTGTGGAGGCCTGGTGGTGCAGTGGTTAAGAGCTCGGCTGCTAACTAAAAGGTTGGTAGTTCGAATTCACCAGCTGCTCCTTGGAAACCCTATGGAGCAGTTCTACTCTGTCCTACAGGGTTGTTATGAGTCTGAATCAGCTCAACGGTAATGGGTTTGGTTTGGTTATCCTCCACTGGAAGATGTCAACAGCTCATTTGAAAAATTTTGACCTCTTTAAATCCACACCTCCACTATGGTGGGAAGTTCTCGAAGCATTCAAGGCTCTAACACTTCTACACCTAAGAAAAAAACACGTCTCGTTGAAAATAACATTTTCCCCACTAAAGTAGTATAAATCAGTGAAATGCATGTATTCAGAGACACACTGGGCCACGTCTAGTCCTTAGGTGTGGGTCTAAAAATGACCGCAGCTCATCTTACGGTTTACAGTACAAGATTAGCAAAACCGGCCCTTCTGGTTCCTAATTAAAAGATTTCTACTAAGCAAATGGTGCCAAGCCGGATTTGTTAGACTCCTGTTTCCACTTTCAATCACTGTGGTCTATCACTTTAGTTCCTTTCAGTAGGTACGTATCATCACTGACCTCATTAGTGTTATCTTCATTTTACCTGCACTGGGGACATCAAATGTCTCACAACTCTGTACTGATAATCTCCATGGAGTGAGTGTGTGGGATGAGATGTTTTTTCTTCCCCCAAGTAAGAACATCTGGGTAAAGTGATAGACCAAGTTACAAATCCTCTGGACACAGTCCTTTCAATGCTGTGAGCTGGGTATAGGGGGCAGGAGTGGGGAAGAAGGGAAAGTTCTGGTTTTCTTAGCTCCTGCTGAGAGAAGTGGTGACTCAGAGGTGTCTTCTGATGGTGGTATGATTCTGGGTGAGGTGAGAAGTAATGGTGTGTGTGGGGTGCTCCTGGGCACAAGGAAGGGACCCCACTAGCAGAGGCCATGTGAGGTTTCATGACTCAGGGCCAGGTGACATCCAGTGAGAAGCAGGGGCACAGACTGTCAAGTCGAAAACAACTAAAAATCAACTAGTTTGGTGGTTTGCATGAAAATCTCTTATAACCTTAAGCAGAGCCTATCATGTCAAATGGAGCCCCTGGGTGGTGCAATAGTTAATGCTTTCGGCTGCTAACTGAAAGACTGGAGGTTTGAGTCCACCCAGAGGGGCCTTGGAAGAAAGGCCTGGTGACCTACTTCTGAAAAATCAGCCATTGAAAACCCTGTGGAGAACAGCTCTACTCTGACATACCTGGGGTGGTCATGAGTTGGAGTTGGCTGGACAGCAACTGGCATTATGTCAAATGGCTCTGCTTGGAATTGCAGTGGAGGGAAGAGTAAAGCCCTAACCTGTCTACCATGTGGCTCCTGAATAGAGCTAGATACCATATTGTCTGCCTTTGGAAGATATTACCTCACCAGGAATAACTAGCAGAGAAAATAAAGGAACTTTCTCCATACCATCAAGGCATGTGACTACCTGGGGCAAGGTGGAAGGAGAATCTAGGTCCTGAAACTTATTAATTT